GTAAACATATAAATATTAAGCTCTTTTCTTTGGTAAATTTTGATACCCTTTAAATCATAAATGCTTCATTATTTCATAAATCACGATTTCATATTTTCAATTTTATAATTTCTACGTGCCATCTTAGTAGATTTAAAATGATCTAATATCCGGAAAAATCTCAAATCTAGGATCGCCGAAGTCCCGACGAGTCCAGACCTCGGACTTTGTACACTGTATAAATATATATATATATATATAATACGGAATGTATATTTTCAGTTAAACTTCTACCCAATAACTTTAGTAATTCATGAAAGTTAATTTTGCGTCTAGTTAATTCAGGAAAATTAGTTTCAATTAGTTGTTTTCAGCTTTAAAAATATTTAAAAAATTTTAATTAGTTATTTTCAACTAATAATTGTATCGCCATTAGCAAAAATTATGCATTACTATCAAAAACATAGGTTTTTAAACCAAATACTTAATTGTCTATTGAAGCTTCAAAACGTATTTCCGAACTTCACTTTTTCTCTCAGCTAGCGTTACCGATTTTGCCCTTGGCGACCTAAAATCGAAATGGAGCCAACAGATTTCCCGCGAAATCGATAACAGACCCTCTGCAGAAATAAACTCATAATCCCGATATCCCATACATATAGTATGTGCAAAAGAGAATAAACTCCGTAGAAGGTGATAAAAAATTAATTTATGGCTTAATTGAAACAAACACAGAAATTAAGCTAAGCAAAACCGTGTAAAAACAAATTGAAATGATAAAACGAAACTTAATTTTAATGTGAATTTTCAGTGCTGACTCTCCCATTCTAGAAATTTCAATTTGTTTCAGACAAAGACCACATTTAAGGATTGCCATCCATCAATATCCAGTCTTTGTAGTCAGCTTGATGAAGCCACAGTTTATTGAAAATGCACTTTCCAGGCATCTCGTTCCTATTGGCGTCGGAAGGGTTGTGGCCTTCCAGGTTGGAATTGCTCTAGTTTTGGCAAATATTTTCAGAATCTCCCCCCTCCCTTTTTTTTTTTTCTCGAGCACCTTCATCATCACTTTCGCCTCTTAAAGAACTTCCAGCTTCACGCTTTCGTCACAGTCTGCCTAAATTTATGGATAACACCTGTTTCGAAAGATTGCGTGAATAGCCAATCAGACACCGATACTTTCGTTCGGGTAGCTAATTGTTTTTTTTTTTTTTTAATCGTTTGCAATGCAAATCCGCCAACAGATTAGTTAAGAGCTGTGTAATTTTAATTCCATATTCATGAGAAATCGTAATTCACACTTAGAATGGCAATCATTAGAAATGATAAGAAATGTCAAATGAGCAAAATTAAGGACCGTTTATTCCTTTTGGCCAAAATTAAGGACTTTTTAAGGACCAAAAATCATTTTTGAAAAAATAAGCATTGGGCATTTGAACATTATGCTTTTAATATTTAAAAAAGGGGAGTTTTTAATTGTAAAAGTCCCTAACGTAAGGAACAAAAAGACCGGAGCTGTTTTAATGCAATCAATAACTGAAGATTTATTTTTCAAATCTCATTTCTTTAACAATTGCACCTGTTTTGGTCCTTACAACTGAATATTTCTTAGCGATTTCATTAGTGGGAAACATTTTTCTAAATAAAGTTGCAGCGTGATCCTATGCATTCAGTGGCAAGTTGTGCTTCAGTAAAAAGGCAGAAAACACTTCATTTGCATTAAAACTTTTTGGTTCTTTTTTCCCGAAGAAAAATTCAATCTTCTTGTTTTTTTTTTTTTTTTTTTTTTTTTTTTTTTTTTTTTTTTTTTTTTTTTTTTTTTTTTTTTTTTTTTTTTTTTTTTTTTTTAAAAACAGTTTTTTGTCCTTGTGTACGCACATGATTGAGAACATATACCTCTTCCACCATGCGAAATCGAAAAATCGCAACGACAGATGCGGTACACATCGCAAATTTATTACATTTCCTTGAGGAAATAATGGAAGGAAAGTCAACTGTGTACAATTTTTTAAACGTACGGGAGTATTTCACCTTTTTCGCAGACATAACAAAAGATGATAATTTTCTAAAACTATTTCCCGAAGGCACGTGTACTCACACAACTCAGGAACAAGATGAACGAAATAACTAAAGAACATCCAAATAACAACCTTAAGCTTTGCTTTATGCTCGTTGGCTAATATATGAAAGATGACACGCAGTGGAGCTCGATGCCCATTGGAAGAACAAACGTTTCTGGATACGTATAAGCTCTCATTCACAAAGACAGAAAGTTCTCATTTAATTCGCAATGTTTTGTTTTAGATATAATCTAGAGAAAATTCAATTGCTTTCAGACGTCCAAAATCACTTTTTTTTTTTTTTTTGTTCATATAACAGAGTATTAAGCCAAGCTCCATAAAAATCATGAGAAATTTTAAGAATAAGAAAAAGTCGAGATAAATATATTGTAAATTGCGTTGGCGGGAGAGCGGTCGAAAATCGGGAGAGTTGGCAACTCTGTGATGGGCTTAAAAATGAGTAATTTTCATTTCACATAAAAATAATCCAATTTAAAAGATCAAGTACATTTAGGAAAAGTTCACGTATTTATTATTCTAAATAAACGTATGCATTCATAATTGAATCTGCATTCTAACATTTAAGGAAAAGTGCTTGAATTCTAAAAACGGAAGAACTAACTACTTTTCAAGAATTCCTCCGATAACAATCACTTTCAGTGACAATACTAGATGCTGAGGCCCAAAGACAAACTTGAAAGTAAATTCCTCATTAGTAATACAGTCAAAAGTCATTAATTCGGACACCCATAATCCGGACCTCGCGACGAATGCACGTAAGACCTTTACGGCTGTGAATATGCGTGTGCGCATGTGCAAAATACGTTTACGAATGCGCGTTTAATGTATAACGGATGGTATAAGCTAAGCTAAAATTATCTAATTTAGTTAATGTTGCAGATTGCATTGTTCCTTAATCTTGTAATTGGATCCAGCTTATTATTTTTTGCAGACTGTTAGAGTAATTTTATAAAAGTAAGCTTGAACTTTCAATTATGTCAAACAGAATTTCTGATATATATTTACTAATATGTAAAGGATCTACAAAGCGAAAGTATGTTTCGAAGTCCATTATACAGAAAGTGGAATTGCTGCAAAAAATGGATAAAGGCATATCCTTTGTTTCTTAACCATTCCGAAATCGGTTTATCAATTTCACGCTGCTCTGCGGCAGGGGGGAAGACGCCGCGGCGTGCAATGAATTGTTGATCTGTCAGCACTATCCTTATCTTCAGGGCAGATGTTTTTATTTTATTTGGCTTATAATTTTTTACTAAATGTAGTAGTTCATCTCGATGTACTCCGTCTTTGATATGATTTAAATCAAATTCCTTGTCATTATAATTCGCTTCCGATAGCAAAGAAAGTGACACAGAGGTTATTGAAAATGAAAAAATTTAGATTGACAAATTAGTCGGTATTCTCGACACAGCAATTATAGGACTTGAACAGCGGAGGTTTGTAACTGAACAAGAAATTATGTCTGTTTATAGAATTAAAGAGAAAGTATTATTACATAAAAAACGAAGCAACTTAAACAACTTACATTGAAAGAAATGTTTAATAAAGTAAACAAATAAATATTAAGTTTTTTTTTTTTTTTTTTTTTTTTGTAAATTTTGATACCCTTTAGATCATAATTGTTCTTTATTTCATAAATTACGGTTTCATATTTTTAATTTTATAATTTCTGCATGTCATCTTACCAGATTTAAACTGATGATCTATAATCCGGAATCGCCGAAGTCCCGATGAGTCCGGATTAACGACTTTTGACTGTACTTTACAATAACAATTATCGAAAGTAATATAACAGAAAACCAGAAATTCATGTCCAAAAGTAGCCAAGTAATTAAGAACAATGCATTATTGATGGTTCTATTTAGTTTAGTACCAGGTATATAGGCTACCTACACAGATGTTTTTTGTCACATTACTCACATATAGTTTAAATTTCCTTTAAGTGCTCTATAAGGCTTTGCAGTCAGAAGAGGCTTCATTTTGTCAAAATGTAGTATGATGACATTCTAACTCTTTGCATAGATGCCAACTTGGTACAAGAACTGACCAATCACAATGAAAGAAACAAACTGACATTTAGTTGACAGTTTTGCTAAGTAAACCGTACCTTTATGCATACATTAATTTACCTTCCTTGACTAGTATAGTTTAAAACCACTTGTGCAGGCATGAATGGATTCAATGATTTTGTGCCTTAAGTTAGCTAAGTGCCAAGTATATTTAATAACTAACTAGCCAAGTGCAAGTTAGTATGTAAACATCACATTTATTTTTGAAGAAAAGGCCATTGATTAAATAATGATTGACAATAATGATGACTAAATCACTCTATGAATGGTCTCAAAGGCAGATACTGCTCATTTGTTTCATCATATTAAAAAAAAAATCTAACTTAACAAGAAATCTACAGTCTGGGACCAATGGTAATGTAGATGTTACAATTTTGTAAATTTCAAGTTGTAAAAGAAAAATTTTTAATCTAAATTGAAAATAAATAAATCAAAGAAATCCCTCTGATAATTTTTATAGAGCACAGCAAAATATATATAAAAAGAAAATATGAAGATAAAAGCATATCAAATGCATATAAAAAATTCCTTTATACATTTTCCAGATATCTGTATAATACAATACAGTATGTTCTAGTTTGAGTATGATTTTATACATTTACAAACATGGCACATTTTCATTTCCTCTAATTGGAATATATAAAACACGAAAATTTTTATAAACTGGTAATACTTTTCATGATTCTTTCTGCATGTACTCCAGCAAACCAAATAATTTCCTCATGACTCTGCTCTATGAATGTTATGGCAACCCTAGAAATTAATTATCTTGGATCACACTGGTGGTGGCGTATCACCAAGTGCTAGTTAGCATGTAAACTTTTATTGTTGAAGAAAAGGTACTCACAGGTTTTAAGTCTTTATTCCTCTTCTTTTTTTCCTATAAAATGACAAGATGGATGTTAAAAATTCCGATATAATTTATTAAATAATATATACAGATTAGAGTACAGAGATTAAATTTGGAGCTATGTAAAACACATGTTTCCACTTCAAACTAATTTTAATTTATAAATAAGTTTCTACCCCATACAAAAAGGTGAATTTACCTATTAACTACAGATGAGATATAATCCTCGTAGTCTAACCCTTTCCGGCACGCTATCTTTTAAAGTTGGAATTTTGACCGCTCCCTCAAAAAAAAAAAAAGGTAGGCAATCTAATCAGACCTAGTGGAGTATACAGGTAAAGTTTTGTGAAAATAGCATTTATCGTTTTAATTCTGTAGGTGTGCCCATAGTGGGCACACTGAATGAATAGACTTCCGAAAAGAATATTGAAACAATTGCTGGGAAGCGCACAAAAGAGTAACAGATTTTGCCTAAGATTAAAAAACACTAGATTCTGAATACTGTAGCAGATTTAACATTACCCAGGGTGTGCCATGGGGAGGCCTGCTACTCTATACCTCTCTAAAACACTCTTCTTGGTTATATGATGATTACATGTGTATGAATGGATAAAAAGTAACTTGGGTATATATTTACATTTCATATTTACACTTTCGTCTATTTTTTCATGGTGGTACTTTCTGAAGAAAGAGACATGAACTTTGAAAAACCAAAACCCAGTACATGCATGTTTTGCCCATGTACTGGGATTCATATCAAATAAACTATCTGAAAGCAGTTTGTGTAGTACTTTGAGTTATTCAGAAATGGTCAGCTCTCTCCGATTCATTCGGAAAATAATAATAACATAAAATTAAAAAAAAAAAAAAAAAAAAACTAATATTATATCCACAATTGGAAATTAAAAACTACAAAATAAAATTAAATAAACGTCTACAACTCAAAACTACCAAATGTAGCATTAACAAAACTAATTTGAATGAAAGCGAAAGAGACCTGCGCTAGTGAAAAACAAAACAGCTTACTGATAAAATTACCCGACCTTCAGAAATCACACTAAGAATTTCTTAGTTGATAACCAAACCTCCCTTCAAGAAAAAGGAAAAAAAGAAAGAGAAAAACAGGAAATGAAACAGATATGTGCACCCACCTTTCTATCACTGGAAGGCTGCACAGAACCAAAGATACAGTTGTTGGTTTGGTCGTAGTATCTCAGTGAGCCCACTCTGGGCACACCTGATGTTTGCTGTTCGATTTTAAGCAAGATTTCAAGGTAAAAATTTAAATTTAATATAGAATAAGGAGATTAGCATACAGCCAAGAAAGTAACATAGAAACTTCTTTTCAAACAATTATTTTTATATTCTAAAAAAAAAAAAAAAAAAAAAATTTGGAAGATTTCTTTGAAAACTAAACATGGCTAAAATATATCAACTGATTTATGTTATGCTACCATCTAGTATAAATGAAGAAGGTTTAGAGTAACCTATAGACCCTTTTTCATTCAATTTTTCTGTGCATACAGAAGGAAATTTTTAGGTGTGCCCAGACCAGGCACACCGTGCCACGAAGGGTTAAAAGCAGTGCATTCAATATCGGTGCATGGTATGTCCCCATGTGCCCTGCAAAATGCCACTATTGCCATAGAATAGTAGAAAATGGAAAGTTCCCGTCATTCAATTTTTGAAATAATCAATAATTCTTACTTGACATTTTATAAATAAACTTATATCAAGATAAAATCTGCTAGTTAAATGTAAAATATTTAATTCCCACCTTAATATTTGCATATTTTTGTTGATTAAAAATATAAAGGTTAGATTTGAATTTTATTTTGGTTATTTCTTGTTCTAAATATGCACTTTAATATGCTGCTATGATTTTGACAGGTTAAATAAATGCTGAGGATGTTTTCATCTTTAAATAATATGGGACTCACTGGTTTCCATTCTTCATACACCTCGTCTTCTTCCTATAAAAAGGTAAGCCAAATTAAAAAAAAAATCTGATATAGAATATAGAGGGTTCATATACATTTCTGCACACGGAAATTAAGTACTTTTAAACACCATTAATGAAAAAAATTAAGGACATATGAGCAAACGGGAACTGAGTAAATTCAATTAAAAATATTATATCTGTGCCTGAATGTGAATTGGATGCATTATTATTAAACATAACTTTACTAACATAATTATTAATACGTTTGGGAATAAAATTAATTTTATGAAATTTATCAGTCACATTGAATATTTTACACTTATAATAACTGGACATGTTTGAAAGAAGATAAGTGACATTTTAGTTACGTTCTATTAACAGTTAGCTTTTTTTCTTTTCTTTCTTTTTTTTTTTTTTTTTTTTTTTTTTTTTATAATGTCTCATTTTGTCACATACTTGCTCAGTCTAGAGGTTTAGTAAATAGCAAGTAGATTTTATGTCAAGCAGCATAGGTTAAAATGAGCATTAAAATCATAATCACCATGATTCATAACAAAAGACTGGTTGTTGTCACCACTCCTGCTTGCCTATAGAGAAACCTGCTGATCAGAACAAACCTGAAAGGCCTGATGCAGGCACAGTTAAGCAAGTTTTGAAAGTTAGCTGACCTCTGTCTGACGCTGTTAGTGTCGTAGCTTCGTGTAGAGTTCCAGGGGTTGTAACTCAGTTAGTTAATACACTTTAAGTTTAAGCCACTAAAGCATTAATGGTGATAAGTTGTTTTGCATTAAGTCTCACTAGATGCAAAAAATAAGTTTCACATGAATTTTTATATTTTTGTGTTTTACCTTGTGACCACTGTAAAGGTTAACACGTTGAGCCCGGCGCCGAATTTGCTTTCCTTTCCGTTCAGCCGGCAGCGAGCGATCAAGCAGTGCAATATTGCCAACTTAAATTATTCATAAATTATACAAAAAGGAAGGAGATGCACATAAAGGCCAAAAGTATTGTTCGAAATGTTATGATGACAATTCAAAACTATTTGGATGAAAGATAGCCAAAAAGTGTTACCAAAATAGTTGTTTCGTATTGTAATATGTGTAAAGCTAAGGCGTATTTTTGTTTAGAATGTTTCAATAAATTTAATTAAAACTACATTTGATCACATTTCATTATTTGTTAACTTTAATATTGTCGTCCCGCGGACTGACGCCAGCCAAATGAAAATTACAGTGCCGGTCCCCAGGGACCGACGCCGGGCTCAGCGTGTTAACGAGAGGCAATAACTTGCTTTAATATAGAGAGATAATTTTTAAGGGAATGCATTTAGTTATAATTAAATTAGGTATTAGATAACTTTAGTCATTATGGATTTACATGGCCACTATTAAATTAAATTTATTTTTTAATAATATTTGTTAAAAAAAAACCTATTAACATCACAATCTCATAAAATTTCACAGTTTAAAATACACGCAATTTATGACATTGATTTTTAAACAATATTACGATAATTACACATTAAAAGCTACAAAACATAAAACTCAACAAAATAATTATGCGTCTTTTTAATTTGAAGGCCTTCCCAGACACTTTGGCTAATTTATATCAATTTCCTTCTCCTTAAGCATGTTTTCTAACAATTAGAAATTTGTCTCAATATGCAAAACAATGTTTTTATTAGTTTCTGCGTTTTAACTGCCAACCCCTCCACAATGTACTACCTATGAGGGTTATCTGGTAAAAGTTAAATAGTCCTCCCCCCCCCAACAGACGTGAAACAAATTATCACTATGTCTGAAAGTAACTATAAATCAGATAATAAATTTAAATAAAGGTTTAAATAAGCTTCTTATTCAAAAAGAACTTGAAACATATAGGCATGTTCTTATGCTAATAAAATCAAATACAGTTTGTGGTGATATAATTAAACAAGAAGAGTGAAATTCAAACTAAAAGTATGGACTAGTGGTCAAAAACTATAAAATTTTATTTCAATTTAATCTGGTTCAGTAACTCTATTGTCATAATAAATAATAATGGAATAATAATGGAAAGACTAATAATTACAAATCATCAGAGCTCACAAGAACTAATGCAGGGAGCAAGTGGAGTTCAGAAACACTCGTCTTACACTCCAGAAAACTCAGTTTAAAAACTGCCCAAGTGATTTGCATTCTGATGAGGAAATAGAAATGGGAAGTTATAGTAAAGGCTGAAACTGTAAACAACTGGGTAATTTACATAATAACTGTACATATCTTTGAAGAATAATTTTCTTTCTCTTTACATATTTAGTTTCTAATTTTAACAAGTTTCCTTTTCACTTTAAATTTTTGAGATTTAATTAAAGACTTCTGTTATTCTAAAAGACTAAATGCATTTAGAATGTATGGAAAAAGCTGCTAATTTTATTTCTTTAGGAATAGGAACATTCAGAAGAAATATGAAATACATATGGATAAAGTCCTGGTCACAGAGCTGGTGCGGCATAATTTTTAGAATTTGAGAGACACACCGAGCAACAAAAGTCTAGAAATGGCAAAACTTTTAGAATTTAGAAGCAAGTTGGCATTGGAAGCAGAATTTAGAAAGGCACCAGGCAGCAGAATTTATCAGAATTTATGATCCACAGAGACTGCATCAGGTGGCAAAATGCCTAGCGCCAGCCTCTGTGTATGATGCATTAAGACATATTAAGATGAATCTTTTGAATTGATCAGTTTTCAATTTCTTTATTAATAAAAGAATTCCTTCCTGGTAATCCTTTGTTCATATGAGTAAGATTAGAAGTACTTTTGATATTTTCCATGCTTGTATCTATCTAGTGAAAAGTAGAGAAAATAAAGGGAAGATAAAAATGTTAAGAAAGCGATTCTAGAATCAGAAGTAAAAATTCAACTATTATGTTTTCATTGTTCTTCCAGATGTTCTCCAAAATGTAAGAAAACTGCGTGTTACTACCATGGGGATATTTTTCATTTTATCACATTTTTTCTGGAATCTTTTAGAATCGTGGGTCTATAAATTTGCCTTGAAATCTTTCTAAACTTTCCAAGCTTCAATGTCTAAAATCCTAACTCTACCAATTCTGTAACAGCAAAAATACAGAAATGTTTTTAAAAAAAATCAGAGGAAAAAAAGTGTGAAATTAATTTTATAGAGAAAACTGATGCACATTCTGAGAATTCTGATCATTCTGAGAAATGGGAAAAATTCTTACCATAAAAAAATTAAAAAAGATCTTTTTAATTAATTACATAGGTAATTTGCTTTTGCTAAAAACTGTTTCGTAAACTTCGTGCTTTATAGCATTATTCTTTGCTTATTTTTCAGATTAAAAAAATTGTATAAAATGTGGCCAAAAATGGAACTTTATAATATGACAATGAAAAACAAAAATGCTTTATTTTAATATTTCTTATATATAATTGCAATATATTACCATTATTTTAACAAAATTTATCAATGTTAGAATGTTCTAAAAAAATCGTCAAAAATTCCCAGATCTTGGAATTAAAAATTTTCTACAGAAACAGATCTTAAAATCACCAATATGTTGATAACTGCCAAGTTTAGAACCGTTTAATAAAAGAATTCACATGCCCAAAAGCAAAAAGTTGCTTGAGAGCTCTTCATTAAAAAAAATGAAATAATTTTGAAATGCTTATGTTTCACTTCTTGCTGAGAAACTCGAGTATCCCACCATTATTTGCATTACAAATAGGAACAAATTATAACTCGTGAACCCATTAAAAAAATAGCCATATTTGTCAGTGAATCGCCAAAAATATTCCTGCAAAATGCTAATTCACACCCAAAATGGCAGTCGTAAAAACAGACAGAAACTTCACATGATTAAAATTAAGGACCTTCTGCCGATTTTGGCCGAAATTAAGGACTTTTAAGGACCAAAAATCTTTTTCAAAAACTTAAGGATTTTTAAAGACCGTACGAACCCTGAATATAGTACAAAACAAGCACAGACTAGAATATACTGTAGCAGTGAAAAATTTGGCTTTATTTGTTTCACAAACATGAACTGTTAAAGCACTTTAGGTACTTGCATCTTATAACAACTACCTTAATGGAAATTACTAAATTTTCCCACAAAACATGTCGAACTCTCTACCGTGTGACTTCAACGCCTTTTAAGAGCACATTGTGATATTTTGTTTTAATTTTAAAATATAGACTTTTGGAATCTAGAAACAATGAAAGAAAACTAAAATTTCTACAGGGATACAGAATTTTACTGCAAAATCTCTAAAGAAAACATCAAGCACATGTATTTAGTAGATGACTCGTTGCAGAGATTTGGCCGATGCCGAGGCTCTGCAATTCTATGAACTTTTTAAGCGAGAACAGATTACAGTGTACTTAGAGAAAGCACAAAAAATACAGAAAGATTTGGTGACAAATGTAAGTACTTTTATAAGTATTATGTAATATTTATTTAATAATCACAATTTGTATTTTAATTTGCTAAAATATGCTTTCATTTCATATGTTGCCAACTTATGATAAATATTGATAGTTTGGGATCTTTTTAAATATAAAGTCATGAAAACCACCAATGTGCATCCTATCGGATATTACCGATGTTATCTTTCATCTGTAAAAAATTGCCAAACTGCACCAAGGTGATTGTGTTAATATGCAAGTACTATCACAAGGCATTCAAAAGTACATAAAGACGAAGTGTTTAATCTTTGAAGAAAATGTTACTCACTGGATCACAATCTTCATCCATCTCTTTTTCTACCTAAAAAAAAAAAAAAAAAAAGGAATAAGACAATTTTTGAATCTGCATCAAATATCAAAGATATATGGCACTGCAGTATCTAGTGACTGTCTGGCAATCAACAAGGCATGTCTCACCTCTTCTTCTGACAGGTTACTAGATTTAAGGCAGTTGAATGTTTGCCACTGAGCCCTAAGGCACTAGTCTTATATATACCTTCAGAAGTCTTTAATCCGGACCTCAAAGCTACAAACTTTCCGCTCATGTGTAAACGCATAACGCCCGTTTAATGTATAACGGATGGTATAAGCTAAGCTAAAATTATCTAATTATCTATTTCAGTTAAAGCTGCAGACTATGCTGTTCCTTAATCTTCTAATTGGATCCGGCTTATTATTTTTTGCAGACTGTTAGAGCAATTTGATAAAAGCAAGCTTGAACTTTCGATTATGTCAAAAAGAATTTCCGATTCTGGAGCTGCCAAAGGATCTACAAAGCGAAAGCATGCTTTCGATGTCATCAAAAAAAAAAGTATAATTGCTGCAAAAAATGGATAAAGGCATATCCTTCGTTTCTCTAACCATTCTGAAATCTGTTTATCAATTTCACGCTGATCTCCGAAGGGGGGGACGTCGCTGTGCGCAATGTACTGGAAGTTGATCTGTCACAGCCTTATCTTCAGGACAGATGTTTTTATTTTATTCCGCTTATAATTCCTTACTAAATGTAGTATTTCATCTCGATGTACTCTGTCTTTGATATGATTTAAATCAAATTCCTCATCATTATAAATATCATGAATACACATCAAATAGTTTTCTGGCTGCAATTTTCTAATTTCGACTATGCGTAATGTATGCTTTACGCATGCGCGCGTTGAAAGAAACGTTTAATAAAGTAAACAAATAAATATTAAGCTTTTTTTTTTTTTTTTTTGTAAATTTTGATATCCTTTAGATCATAATTGCTCTTTATTTCATAAATTAGGGTTTCATATTTTTAATTTTATAATTTCTGTATGCCATCTTACCAGATTTAAACTGATAATCTATGATCCGGAAAAACCAATAATACGGAATTGCCGAAGTCCCGAAGAGGTCTGAATTAAGACTTTTAACTTGTATATATGTCATAATAAAAGCAAAGGAAGGAAATGACGGAACCTAGAGCTGAATTAGACCCATATTGAAGAAGAATTTTGATTGCGTAGTATGCTAGTAATGCTAACTGGTAATCTAAAGAACTTGGCAGTCGAGCAGTTTTAATTCCATTTTATTTCCATTGGTATTTGGGCCACAATCACTTGGCACTCTAGTCTGCCTTCCACAAAGATTTACATTTTTGATATTGTTTGGGATAGAAAGTAGCCAGCGAAATCACATCTTAGCACAGTAGCGAGCAAAACTGAAGTGCGTCGTTATGAAGATGGAAGCACGCGAAGAGAAAAGTTTTGGTTTACAATTCGGTGATTGGTTGTCAAGAGGCATTGGTATTAATGGGTTACGTAAGATCACATAATTAATTTGAATGACGCAATGCAGACAAGTTATTACGATTTTAGAATAGAGAGGAAGAATTAATATTTATAATTATTTAATTCTGATTCATACATATCTTATATATATATATGTTTGTAGAATTAATGTTTGCTCTGAGTTAAATTACCACACTTTATAATGTTTTTTTTTTTTTTAATAACATTCAGTTTAGTTTTGTCAAACGGGGCCTTTTTAGTCATGAAGCTATTACAATATGCTTAAGAGCCAGAGCTCAGACAGAGGGAAAAAAGGAAAAGAATACACCTCACATTTGAGAGAAGATCCTATTTCTGAAAAGGAATAAGCAGCATAAGAATTAATTAATTCTAAAATTTGAAAAAAAAAAAAAAAAAACCCGCAAAGAAAGAGCATTTAGTAACTGTTTTATTGGTAACTGGCAAAGAAGCAACTACAGATTTAAAACTGGCTGAACTAAAACAGAAATTCCAGAATAGCAAGGAGTTTATCAAAGATGCTGACTTTGTGAAAGAAAGTCTAACTATTACAGTGGAGAACAGAAAAAGAAAGAAAGAAATTACAAATGAGAATAGATGAAGAAAAGAAATGAATACAAATGAAAGATCAAAGGCTGAGAATAGAACGAGAATGTCAAAAATGGTTATAAAGGGTAAACTATAAAACAAATTAATAAATAGTCAATTGTGTTTTCACTAGATGGTGTACGACAAAATGTTATGACTTTACTTTTTTGTTAGTAACTTTTGGCAACGATTTTGAAAAGTTAGTTTGGAAACAGAAGAGATGTTAGATGTCGGCTGTAATTTCGATTTAGTGTTTCTGTATATTTTAACGTTGAATTATTAAGAAATTAATTAAGTTTTTTTTTTTTTTTTTTCTTTTCTCAAGATGTAGAATTTTATTGAGTAGATTTCCAAAAATAGGAAATCCGGGCAAGAAATATTTTGAAAGGAACAAAGGTAAGTGAAACCTTTTTTCTTAATGTTAGAACTTAGAATTTATCCTGTAGAAAGTTTTCTACAGAGAACATGAAATTTAATTAGCAAAGATTCATGGAGGAAGCAGAAGTCCAACAGCTTCAATCTAAAAGACCAGCGAAGAAGCGAAAATTTCCTCCAACAAGCTGATCAAAGGAGTAGCAACACTGACTAACCAGTACCAAAGAAAGGAGGAGCATGGAATATATTTTTCTACTCTATCGAAACAGCATTTAAGCACAAGCAAGTTCTAGAGGAAATGTTACTGGAACTAAGTGGAGCTTCAGATGTCTTTGCTTACATAAAGGAAGATCTGCCAAATTATGAAAAAGTGAAAGCTATAATTCTAAAGGAACATCAACGCACTAATTAAGCCTGCTTAGAAAATTCTACCAGAGCTAAAAGTTATTCTGTCAAAACATATATCCAATTTGCTTCACAATTAACAGCCACATGGGACTATTACTGAAAATTAAGAGAAGTAAAAGATTTCAAAACAGTCAAAGAATGAATGATTTCTGATAAAATTTTTCAAGCTTTAGATGGAGAAATAGACAAGGAAATATATATTAGAATGAGGAATAGACAAGGATATATTCTTGCGGTTGAAGCCGCAAGAATTAGCTAAATAATGTGATATCTATTTGGCAGTGAAACCAAAATCGCTTAATGGAGTCTGAAATGAAATTAAATGACCGCTGAGATTCATGGGTAACAAAAATATATTACCCCACATGAGAAGAGAATATGTAAAGCAAGAAGGATCTTCTGTCAGAAGAAACTAATGCTATATTTGTGGAATCTATCAACACATAGCAAGAGATTCCCAGACAAAAGAAAAAGGAGAACAAAATTGCAATTGCAGTAAAGAAGGAAAAAAATGATGTCAGAAATTCTAGAAATTCAAACAGAACACCAAAAGAAGAAGCCATAGTAGCTAAAGTAAACTCATCCTATCTATGACCCGAATTCAAAGAAAATATCCAATAATTGCAAAAAGTAGATGTTTTTATCAACTCTCAGAAAATCCAAACTATTGCAGATAATGCTGGTACATACATCACTCATTCCAGATTTAGAAGTCAGAGAAGGGAATAAATCCATGCTAAGCCCTGATTTCAGACAACCAATCGAAGCAAACGTTTGCCATGTGCTTATTTATTATAATAATTATGGAAGTAATTTATTTGATTTTGTGTATACATTAATTGCTATGACTGCTAAGCTAAATGTGCCTTGTTTAATAATTCCAGAAATACAAGAACTGTTGATTAATCCTACTGGAAAAGAATCAAACACAGATATTTTGGAAAGTAATAATTCTGAAGAAAACATGTTGATTACGTTTGCCAAAAAGCAAACAAACAAGGATGTAGCATCCCCTCCACCAACGCTTTTGGAGAAGAAAACTGAAGAGGCAGAAAGTGAGAAGGAGAGCGCTGACATAAACACACACTTTCCGGCAGCCAAAAAACCTACAAAGAGAGCAGTTGAACTGCCTGTCGCTGAGAAAAGCATGAAAGTTAACTGAAGAAAAAAAAAGGGGGGAAACAACTTATTTATTAATTTATCTTTTACTTCACCAAGAAAATATATTGGGACAGACTGTTTTCCAGTTGGTTCTTCCTATTAGCAGAAGAACACAGGTGTTCGAGCTAGCACATAATTCTATTTTCAGAGCACATTTGGAATAAGGAAAACAAAGGAGAGAATCCGATATTCATTTGGGGGGAGGGCTGGATTAGCACAGGATGACAAAGCTTTTTGTAAAACATGCAAAAATTGTCAGTTGGAGTCCGGAAAGGAAACTGGACAAAATTCCCATCACACCTGTCAGAAGACCAGAATTACCTTTCAAAGTAGTGAATCCCGATGTAATTAGACCTACTGACCCTCCTTCTGCAACAGAACATAAATACTTGTACTTGGTAGGTTGCTTGTGCTTGGTAGATTGCTTCTAGCCAAACCACTGAGAAGTTTCACAGCAAAAGCCATTTGTGATGCACTTTGGGAGATATTTATAAGAACAGGAATTCCTAATACAATAGCAAATAACAGTGGAAAGAATTTGGCTTCAAAATTAGCTAAAGAATTTCAGAAAAGACTAGGTTCTCACCCTAGATTCTCTACACTTGCTTACAGGATTTCAAATGGTAGGAAGATGAAATAAGTCCCTCAAGCAAATGTTACATCATGTCATCAGGACAGACCCTTTGAATTGAGATGAGCACATCTCATACTAACTCTTTGCATACCTAGAAGTATCGAACTGTATCACCGGAATCTCACCATTTCAGCTACTGTACAGAAGACAACTATGAGGTCCTTTAGCAGTACTGAAGTCTTCATGGTGAAGAGAAATACCTATACCACCTAATCTAAGCAAATTGTCAGTGGATTACTTAAAGCATTTAAAAATAAGATTGGAGCGAGCAGACAAATATGCACCAAGTTTATTGCAAGTCAGAAATAACAAAGATATGCAAATATTTAGCCAAAAGTCAGTGTAAAAAATTTTTAAATCAGA